GATGAATTGATCGAAGACACCTTGGTCCTCGTCCCGAATTAACTCTCCAAGGTTTTTGATGTAGGTTCGAACACTAGTGGATAGATACACCCGATTTGTTTTTCTAATTGAGTTATCATCGGTATGTTTAGATCTTTGCCTTCACAATTAAGTGGTGACATAGTAACATAAAAATATTATTTATATCTATTTTTGGTAGTTTAAACACTTTTCTAAAAGATAGTCCTTTCAGTTCTAAATATAAACAACAATAATAAAAAATCATATTTATTAAGAAAAGTTAGTTTATATCATTTAATTGTACAAGTCTTCTTTAAAAATAATTTAAGTTGTTAAACTATCATTTCTTGATTGATAAGAAAAGTTAATTTATATCATTTAATTATATAAGTCTCATTTAAAAATAACTTAAGTTTTTAAACTATCATTTTTTGACCGATAAACATGAATCAATTAGTAAGAGGTTGTTTCAGCTTAATTAGTGAATTCAAGTTCGAGTCTTAGACATGCAATAATTTTAAATACTCGAAGGGAGAGGCTTTATTGTGCATAATGATTCTACCATACTCAAACAAGATTGACTCAAGTGTTTTTAAGAGAACGGTTTTGTAGAATTTTTTTAACTTCTAATCTAATTCAGTTTTTTATTTATCATATTTAATTATGAATTAAATATTAGTATTTTAAATAAAATACTAATAAATACAAATAATTTTATGTTACAATATAAATTATTTATCATTAAGCTAAAATACAATTTACATGTTTAAATTTTAAATATATTTTTATATTTTCAAACATAATATTATATATATAATTTATTATAAATTTTAAATATATATAATAAACATGTTTGTATATTGTTGTCCATAATGATTCCATCCGACTTCAACAAGATTGTCTTCAGTGGAATGAAAGTGTTTTTAGGAGTTTTTCTTCAATCAGAAAATTCATAAGAATTTTTTACTTTTTTATCTAAATTAATTTATTATTTAGCATAATTATTTATGAACTAATATTAATATTTTACATAATTCATCAATAAATAAAAATAATTTTATGCTATATTATAAATTATTTATCATTAATCTAAAATATAATTTATGAAGCGTAAGTCTAAACATTTATACCAAATTTTATACTTTTAATAACTTTTTGTATAATGTAAATTTAAATCCAACTATATATTGAATTATGAAATATTATACTCAAGATTATGTATATCAAATTTCATGCAATTTAAACTTTTTAGACATGTTATCCAAAAATAGATATTTATATATATTTTAAATATCATATTATATGTTAAAATAAAATAGTGTGATAAATAACTAAAATTTTTGAATCATGTAAAAGTTGACATACATGATCTTAAGCATAATTTGTATCATACAAAATGTCATTAAAAGCATAATACAAATGTTTAGACTAATATCTTATATCAATAAATCGACTCATAATTTAAATGTTTAATTAAATTTTAAATATAATTTATATATTAAAATATAATATA